CATTGTACCAGCATGAAATTTGTTGCCTCTGCTGCTGAGTTTTCTGCCTCTGTTACCTCCATTTCAAGTCCCTCAGTCACCTGACTTCCCTCCATTTCAGGTCCCTCAGTCACCTGACTTTCCCTTGGATGTCAAAGCTTAATATATTTTATGCATCTGGGACTGTCCTTGGATGGTGTTGAAGAAATGGGGAGGGGGGGTGATTTTAATACATGCATGGCAATGGACAACTTAAAGCTGTGTAATTAATGGGCTACAAAAATGAATAAAATTAGTAATCCGTAATTAATGGGCTACTAAAATTAATAAAATGAAGGCAACATCAAGAGGACCTGGCAGAAAGAGGTAGGTTGTCTCTGAAATTTCCAATTCATTACAATGGCTCTTTATTGCTTGTTTAACCTTCATTTTAAATATCATGGGCACTGAGAGGAATTTATGTCTCATTAGTATTTCTGACCTCTTTTTAGTAGAACATTGGGAGATACCTCCTCAAAGAGGCTTATTATTTAGTAGATGACTACTTACAAATATGGAGAAGATGGGCAAGACTCCTTTGATATTAATGTCTGTCCATAGAAATGGAGTAGGCATTGTTTGCTTGGTTTTTGTATGGTCATGTCTCTCCTCCTCTATCTGTACAGGTAGTCCTCGACTTACAACAGTTCATTTAGTGACCGTTTGAAGTTACAACAGCACTAAAAAAAATAACTTATAACCATTTTTTACACAACAGTCCCATTGGTCACGTGATCAAAACTCAGATGCTTGGCAGCTGACTCATATTTATGATGATTGTGGTGTCCTGGGCTCATGTGATCCCCTTTGGTGACCTTCTGACAAGCAAAGTCAATAGAGAAGCCAGTTTCACTTAACAAGTGTGTTATCAATTAAACAACTACAGTGATTCACTTAAGAACTGTGGCAAGAAAAGTCATCAAATGAGGCAAAGCCCACTTAACAAATATCTCACTTAATAACAGAAATTTTGGGCTCAATTATAATCATAAGTCGAGGACTACCTGTACTGGACCAGGAAGAAGAAAGCTGGAGAATCCTGGGAAGGAGAGTGGAAGAAGGAAACATCTATGAAAGGAGTTGTCAGAGACTGGGAGGAACAGCATTCCACCCCTCCCAAAATCAGGTCTGACCTAACCTTCATTCCATCAACATCATCATCAAGCAGTCTTTCCCAATTCAGAGTTCTCCAGTAAACAAACTGGCTCAGGAGGATGGAAATAATATTGCTGTACACCTCAAAGGCCAAAGATTGGGGTAAATTGCTCTACAGGTTCGAAAGCCTTGCCAGAGAACCATGTTTCAGGAAGGAAAGCAAACGGGGAAAGAAAATTAGGAAGACAGTGCTTTGGAGATGATATGGTCCCTATTATTTTGAAGGATATGTCTATGGAGATTCTCAATAATCTAGGTTATGGTTGTCCTGTATGGTTGTTATGGACTTGGAAAGTCCAGTTGCCTTTTGGAAAGCACCTTTATTTTGAAGGATCTTTAGAGCAAATATCCTCAGTGGGCTCCAATTCACAAATGAGTCAGCTTTCTTTTCACAGTCCCCTGGCCCTCTCTGCTTACTCACCTCTCTTGGGCTTAATTCACATCACTGTTCAGAAAGAGGAGAGACAGGTAAGGTTAAAAACTCAAGCTTTCTGCATCATACAGTAGCCATTCAGATACCCTCAGGAGGGCAATAGCTTTCTTTCTCCGTTGTTTCATAATGCTAGTTTATAAAGCATATTGTTTCTGATTTTTGAGGCAGGAATTACCTAAGGGCTTTTTCACACTGCAGCTTTCATCTAATTCTCTCCCACATGTAATGCATCTGGAAATGAATCTGGCTTAAGAAGTCCTTTTCAATTCCTTCCTCTATTTTGGCCAGAGAGATGGCTTGATATTCTGATTGGGTTTGCCCTGGCCATAAGGGATGAGTACTCCTGCTTCTAAAGAAGCCCTCCAGGACTGGTTTTTTTAAAAAAGGAAGAAAACACAATGGTTTTGTCATTTTTCTATCTCATGGGCCAGAAGGAGAAAGCATCTGGATCAGTGTTTCTTAACCTTGGCAACTTTAAGATGGCTGGCTGGGCAATTCTGGGGTGTTGAAGGCCACACATTTTAAAATTGCAAAGGCTGAGAAACACTGATCTGGACTGTTGTAAATTTCACCTGAAATCTTGTCAATTTCACTGGTCAAAAAAGGGACTTATCCAGTAGTGGGATTCAGCCAGTTCATACCACTTTGGCAGAACCGCTAGCTAATTTTTTGTTGCCCAGGCCCAGAATGGACTTCCAGAAGCGGCATCCACGCAGAGAACCGATTGTTCACATATCTGAATCCCACCACTGGACTTATCCTTGTACTGTTTCACTGAATCTTATTAAAATTGGCAGTGGGGGAGGTGACCAGAGACAAGAAGAGAAGTGGCGTTCCCACTAGAAGCTCCAGCAGTCATTTGGGCTGGAGGGTTTTACTTATAGGTGATTGAAATGTAGCACACAAATTGAACACTAGTGGGGTTTGATCTGGCATTAAGACTGTGTTGAAGGAAAAATATTCATCAGGGTCCAGTCCAAGCTGGGAATAAACAAAATAGAGACTGCTTTAGAAAGAAGGTTGTAGTTTATTGAAGAGGAGAGCCTGACAGAAAGATGGCTCTGGGAAAGCTGACCACATGTAGTAGGGAGTGACGGGTTTTTATACCTTCTTGGGCTTTTGCTTGGAGTTGTTCCTGTGGCATGAACTTTGACCTGAGTCTGAGTGTGCCATTCTGGTATTCTGATGGTGGTGGGTTAATCCTATTATGTCCCAAAGGTCATATCCTGCTTTCCTGGGGCTATGGCTGATGGTTATGTCCTGTGTTGGATTTTTTTGGTCTGAGGGATTGTTGATTCTAGGGATCTTTGTCTTTCTAATCCAAGCTTCCTGGCTCCAACCTTTCTGACAAGATTTTCACATCTGAATTTCTGCAGACCTGTTTGGGGCAGAGAGATATCTGTTTGGGGCAGAGAGATTTGAGGGGGGGGTCTGCCTTTAAGATCCTTTGGGGAAATATAATATTCTGCCTTTTAATATTCCCCAAAACATTTCTTTCTCAGGGGGAAAGGGGGACTGACTTCCCACAACAGAAAACATTACATCTGATGCAGAGTCAGAAAACTCTGGCAGGGCCAGCATTACCTGCTGGCTGGGGAATTCTGGGAGTTGAAGTCTACATATCTTAAACTTGCCAAGTTTCAGAAACGGTGCTCCAATCCAAACGAGTAGGTACTAAAGTTTAATCATCTAAACATTGATGCTATTATTATCGAGAAGCACATATACACTTAATAGAAAAACAGCAAGGTGATTACTAAAAAAAATTGAATAAAAATATATGACAACTGCAATAGCATAGAGACCAATCAGCATTTCAAAGACCAACAGAGTGTACTAAGAACTAGTAATGTGGTGTGCCCTCAGCAGTTGGCAAACCTGCAGTGTTTGAAAGCAACTGGCACAGCTTCAAAAGAAGAGAGTTTCATAGCAATGGTGCCATATCATCAAAGGCCCTTCTTGGCTAATTGTTCCCTGGCCACGGCATTGAAAAAGAAAATTGAACCGAATTGACACTGGGCATAGTAGATGCGCAGATACCTTCTATAAGTGGGACAAAATACCATCTCCGAATTGTGACTGTGGAGATGAAAAACAAACTACCCAACACATAGTGACAGTGTCAAAACAGAGCCTATGATGGAGATTTTGCTGATTTCCTTGC